CACACTATGCCTCAACGCACAAAAACATGCATTGGAAAGTGTCTTGCGGTGACTGGGCCCTAAAGTTCCTCTTTTTTTTTGCAGGTTAAGATCAAATTGAAGTGCACCCATGTCCAGACTATGGACATTAAATGATTTACATATTTTTAACAAGCAGTAAAAGAACTTTACAAGCCACCCCTGACCTTTCTAGCTGCTTTTAATGGGAAGTAATTCATTCTCCAATATCCTCAAAGATCACAACAAAGACTCCATTTGGCAGTCATTTCTAACAGCTTAGAACACCTGCTGTATGTTTACATCAGGCTGGCAAGATAATGTTCTCATAGAAAAGCACCGTCTCTGTGTTATGAACTAGAGCTGCAGCTAACGATTATTTTCAAAATCGATTAGTTAGCCAATTATCAAGTTCGATTAATCGGATAAAAAATAAAATACATTTTAAAAAATGGCTCCAGTGATGGCACTACTAGTTTGTATTGAGATTGCAGTCCATCATCTAGAGCACCATGTATGGGAAAGTGCAGGCTTACCTGAGCAGTCTTCCAGCAACTTGTTTCTGAGATCGGGCTTGTCTGTTGGCGGCTGTCATCCGCCCACACCTACTCCTCCCTACTTCTTCTCCCCGCGTCCCTGTGCCAATCGTGGATTTGGGCGGGCGGTGAGCGTGAGGCGGGGAGGAGGTGTGGATGCGGGCGGGCGGGTCTGGCAGCCGCGAGCGTGAGGTGGGGAGGAGGTGTGGCGTGCAGCGTGTGTGGAGCCGTGAACAGGGCCAACCAATCGGAAGACGATTAATCGATGATTGAAAAAGTTGACAACTTTTTCAATAATCGATTATAATCGATTATGTTGATTAGTTGTTGCAGCCCTATTATGAACGTTGAAAAATTAATTACTTCAAAGTGCTTATACACACAGAGATGAGTGAATGATTTTACTGCTTGTCCAGAATGTGGAAATACTTTGCATGATCTTGGTACAGGCCTACTATAAAGTACATTTAAACCCTCTGGGTTTTTTTTTCATATATCTACTGTGAACAAGCAGTAGATATATGCAAAATCATTAAAAAAACTTTTTTTTAAAGTTACTAAAAATCTTAAATCTCAGCTGTGTCTGAAGGGCGCAATACCGTCAGAGAATTCTTGGTCGACCGCAAAGGATGATAGGCGGGCGCATGTGCAGTAGAGATCTTCGCCCGGGAGACGAGGAGAGACACAGGGTAAGTCAATGCACGCAGCCTGGCAGTGTGCACCCGCACAGACTCCGTGGGACACAAGACACAGCAGTCAGCGCTGGATCAGAGACCGGCACCAGCATTAGAGGGACTCCTGAAAACTACTGGAAAGAAGATGATCGGATCAAGAGGCATCATTTAAGGAAAGTGCTTACACCAGCATGAATTGACTTTAATGTCACTTTAAACATTAGGGATATTTTAGAAGTAAGGGGTGATTTTGATTTTGTGCTGTATTTTAATTCCAGCGAACATACTGCTGTACTCGGGCTTGTTATAAGAATGCTACTTTACTTTTGTTTCTTCAGGAGACGGGTAAACTTAGAATATTGCCATAAGCCTTTCCATGCTGCACATGCCTTCCTTGTGCTGCTTGCAGAGACACCTGCCCATTGTACGGTCATCCTCATATCAGTCTACACTGTGACAGTCTGTAGATTTGAGTTAAAGTGACTTTGGGATAATTTGAAGGTTTATATAAACCCCTTCTCAGCCTCTTAATATCTCAAAATAAAGTTGCTGATTTGGGCTAGATTACTGGTTTTCATGCTACTATAATGGCATTTACAGGTAATGTAATGAATAACATTACAGTCTAAGAGCAGACCGCACCCGGTGTATACGGTTACATTTATTATTTTCCAGAATCTTTTGTATGTGCCAGAGGAGCCCCTGGAAGCCTTTACTTCAGCCAAGCAGACCTTTACCCCCTTTCACTAAAAATCACATCAGCACACAGCTCTGCATGCTGATAAGAAATCATCTTACATTCATTAGTTAAACAAACTTTTTTTCAATTTACTTACAAATAGAGTTCTTCTACTTCCTGGTCCAGTTCTGGCACAAATTGTCATGTGCCCAAGCGTTGCATCCTGGGAAGGTTACATCAGCAGAACATTCCTGCGAAATCCCATCTGTAATCACATGAGATCTCAGGGAAAGGCCTTTTCCTCCCCTGAGATGATGTGCATGGTCACATGTCCTAGTCACATGTGCCAGAAATCCAGGAAATAATAGGAGCTAGTAATTTACCGTTAGTAAACATGGCCATTGTCTGAAGACTGGGAAAGAAAAGAGAAATAAGGTATGTAAAGCATAAAACGCCGGCAATTATCTAGAAGTATCTGTTTGTAGATTGTCATTACTAAACATTTCTAAAGGTGCCTTTGTTGTTATTTTAGAGATATGGGAAGAATTCCACTTTAACACTAGAGATGAGACTGGACTTGGTACAAACCCAATTTGCCTGAGTTCGCCCAAGCCCGCTCAGAAATCCACTTCCACCCCCTCCTCCTAACCCAATCACTGACGGCAGTTGTGGCATGGACATTCCTCACCCTTTTGTGATGTATAGCTGCAGGGCGGGGAATGCGCCTCCCTGCAACTGATTGGGTCGGGAGGGTCAGAGTTTTGAGTAGGCATGGCAAACTCAGGCAAACTGGGTTCTTGCCAAGCCCAGCCTCATCTCTACTTAGCACAAACTAATAGTTACACAGAGACAAATCCCTACGGGGGAAAAAAAAGAAACGGGGAAATTCAGCCCCCAAATATTCAGCCAAAGAAAATAGTTTTAAGTTGAATTGTTGAGTTATGTATCCCCCTTTTTGTTTTGCAGGATTTAGTGAATATAGAAATGTTTCTTACTGCAAAGGAAGTGGAGGAATCTCTGGAAAGACAAGAAACCATGACATGCCTGGCCTGGTGCCATGATAACAAATCCAGACTTAGGAAAATGAAGGTAAGGCTTCTCAGGGGCCAGTTTATTGGCTTGTTTAGATCTAAGTTGTCCCCAGCCTTGGTGATAGGATACATGGGCAAACATGGAATTGCATATATTGCACCAAAATGGCTACCCCTTTGTGTAAGATTACAACTGAAATGCAATTGTAAGTGACTTGTAATGCTTTTTTGCAAATAACTGCCATCGCAATTAAACACCAGCAAACATTTCACATCAGGCAGATAGTGGGTGTGTCCTATACCTGACTAGAAAACACTGGGAATGTATCAAAACTGGAGCAGTTGCCCATGGCAACCAATCGGCTTCTCTCTTCAGTTCAGTTAAGATTTGAAAATGAAAGAGAGAAGCTGATTGGTTGCCGTGCACAGCTGCTCCAGTTTTGATGAATCCCCCCTCACTGTATTATGGGAGCACCATACATTAAGTGTTCATTTGTGAAATAATTAATATAGAAGACACATTTTTAAATCCGTAAATGTTTTAAATATAATTGACCCAACAATTGTTATAGTTTCGGCATTCGTTGGTACGGCCAGTGGCCAGTGTTATTTACCTGATAGAATTGCTTTAAACAGAACCTTTCACCGACTTAAAAATTACAACTAAAAGAAGGAAAAAACGACACATATTGTCCATGCACATCATAGCCCTTTTCCTTTCTGGGAGTGTCTAATTACTGTCTGTGCAGGCCCAGCTCCTGTTCCTCTCACCTTCCTACATAACCTTTTATGTAGCAGCCAGAGGAGAAGCAAAGAGGAAAACTACAAAGCAGTGGTAGGCAAACTCCAGCTGTGCAGAAGCTACAAATCCCACCATGCATCTGCCTCTGGGAAACCTACCTGTGGCTGTCAGAGTCTTGAAATGCCTCATGGGACTTGTGCCATAATTGTGCCACAGCTGGAGGTCCAGAGTTTGCCTACCCCTGATATAGAATGTCACTTGAGTGACAGCTATGAGACTGAGCTGCTGACATCACATTCAAGATGGCGGCACCCAGCAGACGTCTCAAGGCTTTTGGATGTCTACGTGAGAGTGGCTTTTACCAGGAAAGAACATGCATAAAATATTTTAAATGCACATTTCATTTTATGGGAAGATTGTTGGTTAAATTAAATGTTCTGGTGACAGGTTCTCTTTAGGGCAGTGGAAATTCAGAAGGAATGACTTGTAAGGGTCTGTGTTGACAAGTTTTTGTTCTGGTCAGAAGAGCTTCTCTCCCCATACAAGTTTAGACCCCATTCACATCAGGTCGACAGCCTTTTAGCACTTTTTTTGCGTGTTTTGTGTGTTTTTTAATGAACGTTTTACAGGCATTTTCTGTTCATATGCAAGAGCGTTTTAAGGTGTGTTTTCAGCTCGTTTTTAGTTGACCAATAAAAAGCACTCTTGGCTGCAAAAACGGGGGGGGGGGGAGAAAAAAAGCACTAGTCTATGGAGCAAAAGAAGCTCAAGGACTATTTTGAACAGCCCGTTTGCTTGAACGGCTCCCATAGAAATATATGGGGTTTTGATTTGCATGGGTTTCAGTGCGGGAAAAAAAGCGTGCAACAAAACGCCCTGGTGTGAACGGGGCCCCTATGGCAACACAGAAGCGGCTTGAAGCAGATCACCGGCAGGTCAAGTGCACCGGTCAATGAAATCTTAGAAGCATCCCAAACTGATGGTGTAAAGCAAACTGTTGATCACAGGCCCGGCGCGATGTCTCATCTTCTGTATTCCGGTGTCGCGGCACAGCTCTTCTATCTCTGACTGATGGTTTTGATTTCAGGTATTTGGAGCCCGGGAAATCTGAGCCCATAATGAATGTTGATCGTCCTTTATTTCCTGTAATCCCTTCCTGCAGCTGTGCGATTTTTGTTTTATCGCTTTCTAAAATATTTTCATCTTTGGTTGTGTATTGTTGGAAATTGAAGCTCCAACCATAAGTAATAGTGTCTGGAGATTACGCCGAGCCTGGAAGGGAGGCTTTCTTACACCGTTTTATCTTTATAAGTCGTTTCTCACTTTGTCTCCCTCCGTCAGAGCTGCCTGGAATTCAGCCTTAGGATCCAGGAGTTCATAGAGCTGATCAGACAGAACAAAAGGCTGGACGCTGTCAGGTGAGACAAACATTCCTCTACATCTGGAGGTGACTACTGTATATAAAGTAGAACTCCAGGCTAACTGCTAAATGCACAGTTGAAATATAACATTAGTAATTCTGTTCAGCCAGTCACGTGGTCCAGGCATGAATGGTGCACAGAAAACATTTCTCTGAACTGTATACGGTGGCACCATCCACCAGCTGTTCCAGTACATGTTGGATTCTTGGATACTTTTGATACAGTGTGCGAAGGAGACATCCCTAGGCTATTTCTATACTGTCCCCTACCAAAAATCCTAGCCATGTAGGTGACCGCCTTTTTTCCTGGTTTAGCATTGAAGCTTCTTATGTCACCTGCATGGTCATTGGACAGTCAGGCATAACATTTTGTATGGGGCCCTGTGATTTCAGTTACGCCCCCTTCAGAGCCCCCCCCCTGATATCCCATACAGCCCACCTGAGAGTGACCCTGCAGAGCCCACCATAGACTCTCTGTGGTAGGCTCTGTAAGATCTCAGGTGGGCCGGTCACACCTCTGCACACCTCTTACCTGTCAGCCCTGATCCGCTATCAGCCTTCTCCACCCGACGGGCCCCTCCTCCTCGGTCGGCGGCAGGCCCCTCCTCATCCACCATCGCTGGGCCCCGCCTCCTATGCTACCGGGCCCCGGCCTCCTCCCCTGCAAGCTGCTGACTGCACCGCTGCACAGGTAGTCAGTGATCTGGACAGCAGCTCATTCCTCCTCACAGCTGCCAGTGACCACCATCAGCCTGCAATGCCATAGCGACCCAGGCAGCCCGCACGGCATCAGGGGAGCCCCTTTGTTCCACGTCCTGGCCGGGCCCCCCTGTGCCCCAGGCCCCATAGCGGCCGCCTGGTTCGCTATTGCGATAGTTGTGCCACTGATAGAAATAGCCTAGTGATGTCTCCTTTGCACACCCCAGAATCCAACAGGTACTGGAACATCTGGTGGATGGCGCCACAGTACACAGTTTAGAGAAATGTTGTCCGCACACCATTCTGCTTCAACATATCATTTTTATTGCTATTCCTTTAGCATGACATATAAGCTCAAATGTTTCAGGGCCTTGCAGGTCCCCTTCATCAGGCAAAATGTCACGTTGCACTTATATGTCATGCTAAAGGAATATCAATAGAAATGATATTCTGAAGCGGAATGGTGTGCGAACAACATATTCTCTAAACAGTATAGAAACCGTCATCACATTTCTGGGGTGCCTACAAATACCCCCTTCATCAGGGCTTATTAAGGGAGACCATGTATCAGGACTGTGATGGATTGAAATCGGATTCCAGTTGGTGAAAATGCATAAAGCTCTTCAGCAGCTGATTTGGCTGTCACTTCAATAGGACAAACCTTGTGGGTCCAGCACTTTTATTTCACTTCTTTTTGGTATACAGTGTGGCAGAGGCATGTGTATGATAAGACTGGCCAAATGGAGTTCGAAACACTAGAAAATAAAAAAAACATAAGTATTTCACCTATGTATATGATTGTTAAATTGGGTTCCACTTTAGAGGCACATTAATCTAAAAAAATAAGGCTTTTGTCAGTATTGCTCTTCTCTGTAATAAACTCAGGAGTTAAATCTTGAAAATGCTTTCAAGTAACTTTACGATTAACAAAAATGTATCTTATTTGTGTATCACTCGTCTGTAGATCCTCAAATCATCTCTGAATTGGTGCTGACACTGTCCTTCCTTCTGGAGGGGGGCTACTTTTCTTCCCCATGGTCCTTGTGTGTGTTGTAAAGTAGTCACCGCTCCAAGCTCCCTCCTGTGATGGACTACAATCTCAATACAAATTAGTAAACTAAACATGAGATTGTAGTCCATCACGGGAGTGAGCTTGGAGTGGTGACTACTTTACAACACACACAGGGACCATGGGGAAGAAAAGTAGCCACCCTCCAGAAGGAACGACAGTGTCAGCACCAATTCAGAGATGATTTGAGGATCTACATCTGAGTGATACACAAATAAGATACATTTTTGTTAATAGCTAAGGTATTTGAATGCATTTTTAATATTTACCGCCTGAGTTTAGAGTCACTTCAAGCATTATAATCAGATTTTTAGATGCATGGGCTCCAATGGATCCATTTTACCCACAAAATGTGTATTTTATTGTGTTTTGGGGCACCAAAATGAACTACATTTTTGGGTTTGATAAAGAGTTGCGTCACTATCGTGCAACAGAAACATTTGCAGCTGGCACTATTTTATTCTACAGGGTGTTGGCTTGCAGAAAATATATACAGGGTTATTCACAAAAGGGTAAAGAGTTAGGAGAAGTGAACAATCTAGGACAATATGGCTGAAATGGAAATTTTTTCCAAATCATCTATTTTGTCCTAGATTGTTCACTTCTCCAAACTCGTCACCCTTTTGTGAATAACCCTGATAATGTTTTGGGTGTTTTAAGTCATTTTCAGGTCTAAAATGTGAATTATATCATGTGTGCAAAAAAAAAGGTTGGGCCATAGTTCTCTGTTAAGCGCTGTTTTCTAAATGTATCTAGATTGGTCACATAGTATCACTCCAGTGTCATTTTACAAAATCAGCACAGGGCACTGTCTCATGTCTTTATTTTCCATTACTGTTTATATTGCCCATGTCACTAACAGTCAGGCAAATGGGGAAGAAGAATACAAAAGCTTGTGTGATCACAATGTTTGCTTGATGTAGCTGAACTAACCAGCAAAAATACAAAGAGGGGAATTCATCAAAACGGGAGCAAACAAAATCTGGAGCAGCTGTGCATGGCAACCAATCAGCTTCTATCTTCAGTTTGTTCAGTTAAAGTTTGATAATGAAAGAGAGAAACTGATTGGTCGCCCTGCACAGCTGCTATAGATTTTGTCTGCTCCAGTTTTGATAAATTCCCCTCACTGTGTTTTATGGTGTTTGGTATCAGACAAGGAAATATGTAGCCATAGTTTATTGAAGCTGGATATAAACCGTTGTAAATAGAAATGACTGTAATACTTTTTCCTGCTACACCCACATTTGCCTCTGCAAACCAGCTGAAGAGAGAGCGCCAGCACTGGGGTGACGCAAAATCCCCCCCAGTCTCCAGGCAGTACTATATTAACACAAGAGGGTGAGGAGAGGGTGGCATCATCACGCCTGCATCCCCAATTCTAGAAGCGTTGTCAGCCATGGAGATAGTGCTGACACTGCCTCCAGGGTTACAGCGTAATAGCAGTGACGTAAGCCCTGTAGAACAAAGCCTGTATTGGCTAAACGTGGAGATTTAAATTGTTTTGAGGCATTTTTATTTTAAAAAAATATGGTTTTCAGGAAAAGGTTTATGTTGCTGAACTCTTCTAATGCATTAACATGCCATCTACTTTCATGTTTATGCCTGAAGCTGTGCTGAAAAACAAAGTACTAAAGCCACAGGCAGCTAACATTACTAGGAGGAGGTGAGCAGTAGGTGAGCCCCATATTTCTCTCTGCTCAGGCTTTCTTCAGGATGGTTCTCGCCTGCATGTCTGACTATCCTGTGCTGTGTGTAACTAACTTAAAGTATATTTAAAGCCAGTTCTATCTAAAGTAGTTTTGGATAGAGTAGGAGATTGGTAAAACCACTGTCAGGTGTCCTGTTGGGGAGCATTACCTTCACTTCCTGTCCTGTAGGCACAATATAAAAAAATGCCCTGTTAAGTGTCACTGCAACAAATGTCCCCTTTATTCCTGCTCTGGTTAGAACTCAACATTTTGGATTTTCTCTCACTTTTTAGTTCTGGTGACAGTGTTTACCAGTGCACATAATAAGAGGGTCAATCTTCCCAACAGAAACACAGACGACTATAAAATCTTGAAATGGGTCCTAACCTTTTCCATTCTCCAAACGTAGAAAAAAAAAAGATAAAAAGTTGATTTATATGTTTGATTCACACTTAAGGTAAAGCATCCTTTTCTTATAGAGGACACGGGCAGGCTGTGTGCCATTATAACTGCTTGAAACTCCTTGTTTTTTTTTTTTCTAATTAAATTGTTCTTTAATGCAAACCCGTCAGGACCCTGCATAATACAAACTGAGCAATTGATAAAAGTAACCCATCAGCAAAATATGTCGGCAAAAACAGTAATATTGCAAACTGGAGCTTTCCCGTAGTTTTTGCCCCATCCCCGAGCCTCTTTATGGGATCTTTTTCAACCAGTAGAGAGACTCGAGAGGCAGCAGTCAGTGGAGTCAAGTTCACGTTTTCATAAAATGTGTCAACCTGCATAGAACTTCAGCTGCTAGTGAGGTGCGGCAACGGGTCTTAGGCACTATGGTTAATGAAAAGCTTACTGCCATCCTCAAGGTGTGGTGCACCTGGGTGGAATATCTTAGATACTTTGACTCACAACTGTTCTCACATCCCTGCTGTCGTGTGTACTCCTCCTCCCCAGGGACCCCACTCCCTCCTGACCCTACTCTCCCTTTACCTGTCTTCTGTCTTCTTTCTCTTTCTTACCATCCATACTGTATTGTTATCTTTCTTAGTCTCTGTATTTTTTGTCATTGGATATTGGCTTTGAACTGTTGTGGTCTATGTGACAGGACGTGATAATGTGGTCAATCTCCCTTCAGTTTGCTGCTACTCTTTTACTACTTGCGCTCCCTATCCAGAGCCATCCCTTATTTACTGCTCTTGATGTAGGGATTTGATTCCTTCTCTATCATGGCTGGTTTTTTTTTTCTTTTGCTATTTACAATCTAATTCTGGCCATTTTCAATCACAAATTCGTTTTGAGTACCTGTATTGTTTGTTTATGATGTCATCATGTGAGGTTTTCTATGATATATGGATACATTTTTTTTTCTATTTCTGAGAACTTTAATAAAATGTTTGTGAAAGAACTTCAGCTGCGTAAATTTTCAGGGTCTTTGATTGATCTGATATGACGTTTTCACTTGAAGCAACCTCTATTATTATCATTATGATTAAATGCCGTCAAGTCGATGTAAAGTTTCGTCAATGACATGGATAGTGTTTCTCC